GGGAAACTGTTGGGCAATATAGTTGGGGTAGTGCGTGCTTGCCGACTCTCTATCAGTCACTTTGTGATGCCATGCATCCTGCCAAATCGGCTATTGCTGGTCCATTAGTGTTGCTACAGGTACATTGCAATAATGGTGACATTTATATTCGATTTTTTGCATTTTATCATTTTGCAATTTTAACATTGATTCTAATTTTCTAACAGTTCTGGATTTGGGAACATATACCAACCATGCGTCCGGACCGAATCGCGCCGTTGGAGCATTGCCCTGGTCCATATGGAGCTAGGTGCGCGTTTCGCCCTTATTTCGGTTGTTTTACAGACATTTGTTATCGAACCAACTTTAATTTTATTCTAAACGGGTTCCTACTTTATTAAATATATGTGGAATAATGACTTGGACGTACACAGAGTTGTTAGGCATGTTGTGCCCGCATTCCGAGATCAGTTGACAGGCTTGCGTCCTGAAAAGGTATTGTACATATGTCCGGACAATAGGAATTTTTGAAATTCGCTCCAGTAATCTTTTCTGCCAATTTTAGTCGATCCAAAGCATAAATTTGTCATACTGCATTTTGTTAATCGAAATTGAGTTTGTTGGCAGGAAATTAACCTCCAGTTATATAGGAGACTCTGCCGAATTTTTTTTACAAATTAAAAAATTTTATAATAATGGTTGACTAGCATTTGATGTGCATGTAATGGCCAAAAGTGCCATTTTATTGTAAAAATGAAAAAATGATCAAAGAATCTCACCCTTCGATTTGCAATGTAGATGTGTTTGATGTGTTTTAAGAGATTGGATATTGTACTTTTGGTTTATTACATGTGCGTGGGAGGTTAGATTTGATAAAACATTTTTCCAACGCGTGTTTTGGAATTGGTCGGAAATAATCTGAAAAAATTTGAAAAATTGCAATTTCTGCAATTAGTGCAGAGAACTACAGATCCGAACTCGGATCCTGAGTGCCCAGACAGATCCGAGCTCGGATCTCAAAATTCTTCACTCAGATCCGAGGGCTCGTCTGTGCTTCCGGCGGTGTGGATCCGAACCATGCCGGATCCGCACCCTTTCAGCTGCGAACCGAGCTCGGATCGGTTCACAATTTGTCTAGCACTTTTTTTTAATTTTTAAATTGACCGCAGCCGAGCACTTTTTTCATGAAATTGTTAGAATTGAATATTGGGAAGTTTTATTATTTCTTAATAGAAAAAATGAAATAACTTTGATTTTATATTTTTTTCAGTTCATATGGCAGCCATATTCGGAGGACGTTCTCGCTTCTCTTCCTGCATATTGTACTGCAGGTCGGGATATTTGGAGGTCTGTAACGTATCTTATTTGCTAGGATGTAGTTGAGCCGCACCTCCCTCATCGGGTTATGCGGCAGTTTGGGTTTCATCAGTCCCTGCCTGATATGAGGTTGACGGATAATCAGGCAGCTCTACATTCTCTAGATCGTCGTGGTAGGGCGAATCAAGACTGGAGCACCACGCATAGACAATATATTGATATTTGGACTTATCGACGTGTGCATGTACAAGATGGCACTGTAATTGAAGATACTACTTATCTATCGGATGAGTATGTTCAGTGGTATCGGGAGCGGACGGTGATTTATATTTCAAATCCGAGTCGATTTCCCGCTTTCCCAGAGGGCTTTCAGGGTGATAGCGCTAGGGCACAATATCTTGTACGTTTATTTACAACCCACTTTTAATAATCACTTTGAGTTTGCTCACATTTTAAACTATTTTTTACAACAGTATCTCCTTCTAATTCTTATATTTGTTTTTCCAGAACGATACCATGTCTCGCATGTATTTCATGGCATAGGACTCTCTTGTAATTAGTGATGAACAACACAACAGATATTTTCAAGAGTTGAGGGACTTTGCATCCACATCTTTGCATCATGTTGGAGAGTCACACCGACTTGCATTTCGCCTTGCCCACGTACCATAGGAGATTCCACTATACCCTGATCCATGTCGTGTTCAGCGAGCTCCTAGAAATACCCACGGAAGTCAGTATGGCGATGGACGACGTCGTAGACTCCGATCACCAGAACTCGCCATACAAACTGGATTCCATGGAGGTTCGATGGCTACTGAGGACCAAACTGGCGCATCTACTTTTGTCACTCCTCAGACCGAAGTCATGCATGAGAGAGATGTATCGATTGGGCATTCTAGGTCCCCTATTACTTTTCCAGATTTTACGCCCGATAGGGACTCATATCGGCATACTTCTGAGCAATGTGAAGGAGGTGAAGGCACAAGCACTCAAATTGAAGATGCTACACTGTTGACACATATTACTCAAGTCCATACAGTAGTCCCAAACCGACCACGTCGAAGTCAAAGAATACCCAAACCAACAACATGTGGTACTCATGGAAGACTTGGGCAGCATTGATGGCACGCTACTTATATCGTTATTGTATAAATAACCTAACTTATGGATTGCATACTTTTTTTGTGACATTTTGTATATATTCTAAAATTTCGCGAATTCGGGCTAGGAACAATGCCATCACGCGTATCTTATTTCTCACTTTATATGAGTACTCTTTTAAACAAAATCAAAAAAAATGGCTACATATGTAAACCAAAAAAGGTAAACTATACTAATCTCTCCTCTAGTTCAAACACGGTAAGTTAGTTACATGTCGAAACTTCATCAAAAAAAATTTAAACATACTATTTATAATATATTTATAAATTGTTATTATATGAGATTTGTTATTCATAGTTTCCCCATTAAATATAGGGAACAAACTTTAATATTCTCATATGGTCAAGTTAAAAATAAGATTTCAATTTTGTTCATGAAAATTAAGCCCTAACTTATTAACAATTTAATTTTATTTTACTGTGACCTTGAAAATAAAGAAGCAAGATGTGTAGTTATTTCGTTAGTATAGTTGTATTATAATAAAATTATTGGCTCACAAAAAAAAGAGTGGCTCGGAAGTTTCGACCCATGGGGAGAAAAAACCCTCCCTATTGTTCTAAAATGATCGAAATTTTTTTGAGTCGAGCCAACGACTATAAGCGAAAGAGCTTGTGGGGAGGCAACCTTACATCCCATAATATTGTAGTTGTGTTTTTATGTGTTTCTTACATTTTGGTGTGATTTAATTGACTAATTAGATATATTTCACTTGTTTGCAGGCGGTACCGGAGTTTCATCATTATTTTGGAGGTACAATTGAGGAACAAGTGTAAAAAGGGGGATTTTCTTATCAAATTGTGCTTTAAGTGTTTAGAATTCCCAAGCATACGTACAATGTTGCATTTTCATTATATTCACGTGAGTTTTGTTAATAACATATTTATACATGCTCATGGACTCATTTGATGTGCATATAATGCCCAAAAGTGCCATTTTAGTGTAAAAATGCAAGAATGATCAAAGAACCTCACCCTTCGATTTGCAATGTAGATGTGTTTGATGTGTTTTAAGAGATTGGATATTGTACTTTTGGTATATTACATGTGCGTGGGAGGTTAGATTTCATAAAACGTTTTCCAACGCGTGTTTTGGAATTGGCCGGAAAAAGAGAGAAAAAGTTTGAAAAATTGCAGTTTCTGCAATTAGTGCAGAGAACTACAGATTCGAGCTCGGATCCTAAGTGCCCAGACGGATCCGACCGCGGATCCATTGATCCGAGCTCGGATCCAAAAAATCTTCATAAATATCCGAGGGATCGTCTGTGCTTCCGGCGGTGCGGATCTGAACCATGCCGGATCCGCACCCTTTTAGTTGCGAACCGAGCTCGGATCGCAACGCGGATATAGCAGAACCGAAGCCTCGTTTCTGCACTTTTCACAATTTTCTTCCCTCTTTTCACCGAACCCTAACCCTCTCTCTCTAATCTTCCATTTCATCCGTTCACTCCCTAATCTTTCTAAAATTACAATTGAAATTGTAACAGATATTAATGACTATTAACTATTAGATTCTTATAACTAATATTCACTGGTGTCAACAAATAAATACGATTCATTAATAACAAAGAAAAATTAGAATTTGATTAAAAAAAATTTTTCATAGAAAAGGAAAAAAAGTTAGTATTTTATTCATAAAATACAGTCAACACCTTACATGTTAACAATTTCATTCCATTTTTACATTGATATATGGAATACAAAGAACTATGCATGTATACTTTTTCCACCATTTAAATGTATTATAATAAAATAATGTATTTCCAACAGTAAAAAATGCTCCAACTTTTTTTAATATAAAAGAAATATGATTTTTTTTACAGCACATATTTGATGACTTTAGGCACGTGCAAGTTTTAAAATAAATAAAATTTATTCCTCTGCTAATTACAGATTTTAAAATAACATTTCTCTAACATTTTTCCAAAATTTAAGATTTTAGTACAGCTTTTAAATTAAGATTTTACTACCGACAGCATTTTAGTAAAGGCAAATTCTACAAAACAAACAACATTTAAAGTTAATTTTACATTTTTTTGGGAGCTATTAAATTTCATTTTAAATTTTTTTCCTAGCAAGTTTGAATTTAATTTTCTGATAGTCATACTTATAAATGCGAAATCCAACAAAAAAATTAAATACAATTTTTGGTGGTCAAATTTATCAAATGCGAGCTATTTGAAAAATTTTTAATAAAATTCTTACTATTACAAAATTTAGGAGCTCGCATTTAGCTATTACTATTTTCTAAAAATAATTGTCTACCTCCCAAAAAAAACCAAAAAAATTACAAAATTTAAATTCGCGAATGCGAGCTCTATAAGTAGAGCTCGCATTCGCGCATTCGCGGAATGCGAGCTCTATGCTCTCCGAAAAAAAAAAATTCTGCTGAGCTTGCATTTCAGGAATGCGAAGACCCCCCTACGGAACACTTCACCGAAATAGCCCCTTTTGTAGAATTTTTTTAAATTTCATCACAAACTTAGAAATTTCTCAAATTCCATAGCAGAATAAAATTCTTATATCAGTTGCTAAACTACAAAGATGAAGAAGACAAAGCTTGTTATTGTTCCATCACCAGGCATAGGTCACCTAATATCCATAGTTGAGCTTTCCAAGCGCTTAACTGAAAGAGATGATCAGCTATCAATATTTGTTCTGGTCATAAGCTCACCTGTGGGCCCAGACTTTGAGTCCTACACTCAACAAGTGGCTGCTTCAAACACTGGTATTCAATTCATCAACATTCCTCAAGTAGATCCGAATCTACCACAGGTCTGGAGCTCCCCAGAAAACCTTTATGCTCTATATTTGGAAAGCCATAAATCCCATGTCAAAACTGCAATAATTGATCAAGTACTAGTATCAGAATCCATCACTTCTCTTGCCGGGATAGTTGTTGATCTATTCTGTAGTTCGATGGTTGATGTAGCGAATGAGCTTGGCGTTCCTTCATATGTGTTCTTCACCTCTGGCTCTACCTATCTTGGTTTCGTGTTTTATCTTCCAATTCACTATAACCAAAATGGAAGAGAGTTCGAGACTTCAGACCCTGATTCAATTATTCCAACATATTCTCACCCTGTACCTTCAAATGTTATACCTTCTTATGCATTTAACAAGCATGGTGGTTATTCCTCATTCGTAAAACATGCTACCAAGTTCAAGGAGACAAAAGGAATCATCATAAACACGTTTGCAGAATTAGAATCTCATGCTGTGGATCGATTGAAATTCGATGCTGAAACACCGCCAATCTACACAGTTGGACCCCTGCTCGACCTGGAGGGCAGAAAGCAAGAGCCTAATCACGAAAAAATAATGAAATGGTTAGATGATCAGCGTCCATCATCAGTTGTATTTCTCTGTTTTGGAAGCATGGGTAGTTTTGAGCCTGACCAGTTAGCAGAGATGGCACTTGCACTCGAGCGGAGTGGATACAGATTCTTGTGGTCAGTCCGGTTATCAAAGGCCTATACAAAAGGGACAGGTGAGCATTCCAATATTTCTGAAATGTTGCCACAAGGCTTCTTAGAGCGCGTCAAAAATTGAGGATTGGTGAGTAGTTGGGCACCACAAATGGAGGTGCTGGCTCATGAAGCAGTTGGGGGATTTGTATCTCATTGTGGCTAGAACTCTATACTAGAAAGCCTGTGGCATGGGGTGCCTGTTGCAACATGGCCTGTATATGCTGAGCAACAAATCAATGCGTTCGAGTTGGTAAGAGAGTTGGAACTGGCTATGGACTTGAAAATGGATTATCGAATGGAAAATGCACAGAATCTTGTAGTGGCTGAGGAAATCGAGAAAGCTATCAGATGCTTGATGGACACAGAGAATCCGACAAGAAAAAGAGTTCAAGAAATGAAGGAGATGAGCAGAAAGGCCATTGAAAATGGGGGTTCTTCATTCATTTCACTTGGACGTTTCATTGAAGATATGCACATCAACATTGGAAAAGAGCAGGGAAGTTTCTAAGTTTTTTCAGTTCTTATTGTCACTTGATCATCAATCAACAGATGAAGGGGGGTTTCTTCAACTTGCTTTTTTTCTTTTTGCTTTATTGGTTTAATATTTGTTCTTTCTCAATCCATCTAACTGTTACATTTGTGTGGTAAACACAAATTAGTATTGTTTTTCATCCTTTATGTGGTCATACTTGTGCTTTCAAATCTATTCTTGCTTTTGTAAAACTTTCCTGTTAAATACTTTTCATTTTTCATTTTTCCGCTAAATATTATAAATTTGGTGGTTCATATGTTTCTTCTAAGATTTGTTAGTAAGTAAAATTTTCTCCATAATTATCTTTTGATTTCATATGGTGATCATTAAGCTGTTACTCTCAATTGGAATGAAAACTGAAATTGTCCCAAAGCTTGTAGTTCACTTGTTATACATCTTAAGTTTGCTGCTTATTTTGTATATATAAAATGAACTGTACACTTGTTATACATCTTAAGTTTGACTTCCTAACGATTCGGATTCGAATCTTTTTCAAGACATCCGCTGTCATACAGGATTTGCCTAGTACATCTTATCATTTCGTGTAGTTGGCGAATTATTTCATATGGTGATCATTAAGCTGTTACTCTCAATTGGAATGAAAACTGAAATTGTCCCAAAGATTGTAGTTCATGTGTTATACTTCTTAAGTTTGCTACTTATTTCGTATATATAAAGTGAATACATCTTAAGTTTGACTTCCTAATAATTCAGGTTCGAACCTTTTTCGACACGTTCGCTGTCGTACAAAGTTTGCCTAGTACATCTTATCCTTTCATATAGTTGGCGTATTATTGCACGGGACGAAATTTATCTATCGAAAAAATTTAAAGACAATGTCAGAATACCCTTTTGGCCTTTATCTATCGAAAAAATTTAAAGAAAATGTCAGAATACCCTTTTGGTCTAATTAGATTCTTATATCTACCAATTCCTTATGCATAGTTTCTTTAAGCTCCGTTTCCTATAGATTATGATAGATTAAGTTCTAAAAATCTGATCGTTGCTATAAAAAAAAAAGACCGCTATTTAAAATAAGGAGCATCTCTTGTAGCGAGGAAAAACGAAAGAGATAAAAGTTCCCATCAAAGTAAGAACTTGAACATGTGGTTTCCCGTTCAATTGCACGTACTCTGTCGCATCTCTTGTTGAAAGAGTGATAGGTTGCGATCTTATCATTTATTTTATTATTAATTTTCCTTATTACCTGATCCGATGTGGATTAATTATTAGATTTTATTCACTTTTCATAATTTACATTTATTTCAGAGAGTAGAACGAAAATACCACAACTAATACCAATATGACAGTCATCGGAAAGGAGTTCAAATAGTAGGCATTCAAAGGTATTTTTGAAACCAGGGGACACAAGCCCTTTTTGATAATTTGTGGAAGACTACGTGAAGCTCCCTTTTGCTTGCTGGTGTGCCGCAGAGCAGTAGCAATGAGAATAGGAAATAGAAGTAGGCAATGAGGAGGAATTGGTAGCTGAGCCTTTTTGACTCTTCTCTTTTAGCTTTAGATTAGCTTTTCACTGGGACCTCTCCGTTTTCCGTTTCCGTAGTAGTTTTCTCCTCGTATGTCTGGGGACTACTAGAAAACAATTGAATCAATTGCTGTAGCTGGTTTTTCCTTCGTAATTCGAGCAAATTTGATTCTCTCGATCAATGGCAAAGGCCGTAATTGCTCCCTACGCTTTGTGTAGGTCTCTCCTGTTAGGGGATGAACTAAATCCTCTTTTCTAATCAAGAAACAACAGATGCTTTGGGTTGTCTAAAATTGTAAGATCAATTTAATTTTATCTTTTTCTCTTATTTATTGGTATTCGCGTATTCTCTAATTATAGTGCTTATGATTGTTCGATTAATTGATTGTCTTGGATCCGAATAATTAGTTGATTGAATAATCTATTGTCAATTAGTTCATTAAATCCGTAATTATTTAATTACTCTGAAATAGTGACAACTGGCATGATTGAATTTGTGTCAGAGGAATAAGCGGACTAATCTAAAATAACCCTGGTAGTGCGTTATTTGGTTAGAATATGGCTCCTCTAATACGTAAGGCAATTGGAGAATTAAATCTTACGGACATACCTAGGATTATCTCTCAATTAGAGCAGTAATTAACGGACGTATCTTAGTCATCGACACAGTAAGGAGGGGTTGACTGTCATCGTTTGTTTCACAGTTATAACCTATTGATCAGTAAATAATTGGAATTACCTTTGTATCGATGATCAATTAGATGAACCATTGCTGAAGTTATTTCTTGGCTAGACCTTTAATTATTATTACTCTAATTTTAGTGAATTATCATTTAATTTCTAGCTAGCTATTTATTTTTATTTTTATTTGAATTTATTTGATTGTCATCGTTTATACAAAAATACCCCCTGTGTTACTTTGAATTTCTTAAGAGATAAATATCCCCAATTCCTGAGGATACGACCCTACTTGCCCTGTCTACAAATTCATAATTATTTGTGAAAAAAAAAAAGCTATCCCATTCAGGTATATCGGATCAAGCAAACTCTTCGGGAACAGGATGAATCAAGTAACTCATTACATACCTAGAGTCCCTGCTCCAGTACTTGAAATCGGATTTTGATTACTTTAACTAATAATTAAGTTTAATTTTATTATTGTACAAGTTTCGACAACCTGTTAAAGAGATAATAGTTCCCATCAAAGTAAGAACTTAAACATGTGGTTTCCAGTTCAATTGCACATACTCTGTCATAATTTTCAAGTTTAAATGAAAATAATCTACTTCTCCATCCCAATTATTAGATTCCGTTCCAATTATTTGATCTTATTGCGAGAATTCAACTTTCAATAATAGTATTTTGATTATGATATTTGTATTTTTTTTTAATTTTATCTTTATAAATTCAGAATTTAAATTTGAATGATTACGTATATATAATTAAATAGGAAACTATGTTAAAAGGAGAGACTAAAAATATTTTGACTTTTTTAATAACAAGACAAATTTTTCGGAAACTCAAAATAGAAAAAGTAGACACTTTATTGAAGGAAGAGAGTATTGAATATCCAAGAAAATAAAGCTCAAACCTGGCCACATGCTGAGACGGCTCAGGGAATTGATGATCAACATTTGAGGCATGCGCACATGATTTGCTGAAAAAGGGACACCAAGGGGAATCTTTCATCTTTCGTCAGAAAAATCTGATCCATATCCAGACTCCCTACTTTCGGACCAAGGTTACGTCTACGGTGGAAAGTTCCCTTTTCTGCCTATGGTAGGCAGAAGCGAAGGAGGCCAACTCTGTTATGTGGGCACGCACAAAGACAAAGAGCAAAAGGATGTACCGAGCACTCGGTTGTGCGGGGGTGAAATAATGCAATAATTTTGAAATCACAATAAAAGTCTTTTTAAAAATTTGTTCATCATCTAATGCCAATACTTATATTTGATAAATTAAAATAGTTAATTAAATATTCTATTATAATATGAATAATTATATATCATTGAATTGACTGAATAATATTTTTCTTTTTTTTTTGGCATTTCACCTAGTTGTCAATTAAGTTTCAATTGAAATAAAGATTTTATAATTATCAACAAAATTATCAATTTCAAATGAATATAAATATAAATACATTAAATTGTATTATTAAAATATTTCATTTAATATGAAGGAAAGACAATGAGAAACAGCAAGAAATTTTTTAAAAATTCATATGAGTCCTTCATATTAATAATCACTTTTACTTGTTAATGTAATCACAATATCTAAATGCAACAGTTTATGTTATACTTCTAGAATTAAAGTTATATATACTCAAATTAAAATTTTCTTTTTTCCACTATTTTTTTTCATATGTGATTTATGTGTTGTCATTTATTTGTAATTTATTTAACGAAGAGGTGCTCTTTAGGCTAAATGATAGCGTTTTGACAATGTGGAGTATTTTTAAGGATTTTTATGAGATTTGAGAACATGTTTTTTATACATTTAATCATATTTAATTTCATTTGAAATATAATTATTTAAAATATAAGGGACCATATTGATTAAATTTTCAAATATTAGGGACCAAAAATTATAATTATAATTTGATTTTGACTTTAGTTATTGTAGTTTTCTATTAGTTGTCCTAATTTGACTAAAATAAAAATTTTGGGACCATATTTATTTTAGTCGAAATATTAGGGACTAATTTACCTCATAGACCAAACATTGGGGGATCAAAATTGCACATCTTTCGTTATTTTAATCATATTTGAGTTCCAACTCTTCCTTTTATATTTACACTTCAATTATTTCAAACATCAAACTCAATTAAAAAAGAAAGCCTATCACAACATTTGCTTTGACATGTATAAAACTCACTAATTAATGTTGAAAATTTCGTCTACCTTTTCGTGTCTTTTGTTCCACATTTCTTTGACATTCACTCTTTCGTTCTTTCCCTTTCACTGGAGCCCGCATCTTCGGCTAGAGTGTTCACAAAATATTTACTAAGTACTGAGCATTAGATTAGATGATGAACAAATTTTTTAAATGGTTTTTTATTGTAATTTTAAAATGTATTGCTTTATTTCATCCACTCAAAACCGGCTTTCTCCATGCCCGGTACATATTTTGCCTGTTTGCCCTTGTGCGTCCCCACAGAACATAGTTGGCCTCCTTGCATTGCTTCTTCCTACCATGGGCAGAAAAGTGAACTTTCCACCGTAGACATAACCTTCAGACCAACCACCATGTCCATCCGTTGCGAAATGCACCTGCCATAACAACATAAGAAGAAAGAGACAGGATGAACCACACCGTGAAACCAGTGCACAGAAAAGGTAATATGGCTGTAGAAGACCCCAGAGGAACAAGAAATATCCAAGTTTATGAAATACGTAAAGAGGTAGACAAAATATAGTGGCGTACGGGAAAACTACTGGACTTGGAATGACAACCCATGATGTTGAAGGAGAAGTAGAAAAGCTCCTAATGG